GACAACCCTCACACGAGAGCCAAAAGAGGTCTTTCATTAAGATAATTAGCCCATATTTAAGATAGACTCTCTTACCAGACTCGAAAGAAAGGTAAGAAAAGAAGAAGGCAATGTATCCAGCTCTTATATACGTAAACGGTTGGTTACGGCGGAGGCCTATATTCGAGGTTCGTAGGTGAGTTCGGGATGAAGTGGTGGCGGATGCTCCTGAATATAAAGATGTCTTAACACCCAAGGAAAAAGAAATTATCTCGGTGTTTGGTCATCATACAATTGAGGCTTTACTGATTCACATTATGAGCCGCGTTTTTTGGAGTGAGAATAGCATTTCAGTAGCTACTTTAGTCGAGCATATTGAATACGTCGTTCGAAGTCATGCTGAAATGATATTTGCTTCTCAAGGAGATAAAAAGAAATTAGCCAAAACTGCGGGTAAAGGGTTACGACACCCTTTCGGTACAGCCTTAGTTGAATCTTTAGTGGAAAGGAAAATGATAAAAATTGTAAACAAAGAGGGTGATTCATCTAAAACAGCCAAAAAGAAGAATAAATCTTTTTATTTGGTAAAATCGCTTCACGCCGAATGCTTATTCAATCCTGCCATTCTTCCTGTACAGATGAACCTTCCTATGGTTCATCCCCCTATGGATTGGAGCTATGACCCCTGTGATAAGACTTGGCTAAACATAAGCGATCTATATGGTGGTTACTTTCTAGCTTTTTCCAATGAAGTATATGAGCGGTGTCGATTACTAAGTTCTTGGAACGTCAATCAATTATATATTTACTTCGGTAAGAAAATGGATAAGAAGACTTTTGAAAAAGCCGATAAAGTGTGTTCAGTAATGAACAAACTTCAGCGTCAGGCTTTTAAGATCAACAAAGCTTTTCTCCATAATCTTACTATGGCGGAACCGCTGTATGCTATTAAAGGTATTATCAAGCCTCGTTTTGTTAACTATATAGATATGAATGATGCGCGGTTGAATAACTTGCTTAGAGAATTTTATGTTAATAACAAGGACGTACAGGAAATATGTACTTATAAGAAATTATTAGAGGTTTTATCAAAAAATATCCAGCGCGCTCGTTATGAGCAAAGAATATTATAAATGGCCGAAGCCTACCAGGGCTATAAATTTTATTTACCAGTGTTTCTTGACTTCTGAGGAAGAGCCTACCGCTGTGGTAGCTTGAATTTTAATGAATGCGATCTTGTTCGAAGCCTGATATTATTTGATAGCGGCGATGAGATGGGTGATTTGCTTAATACCTATACTGTTACACTCCATTACATATCTGCGGCCTTTCATTATAACTCATCATTCAATACATATGCTAAAGCATATAACTGGATGTTAGAAAATATTGAGATATTAGGAAAGGATATGCCTGTTCAGCCTGATGGTGGGATAGATGAAGTTGAATTAATCACTCGTTTAACCGAACGGGGTATAGAAGCTAAAAATCCTATTCAGTTCATATCAAAAGTACATAATCTTTTTCACTATAAATATGAAGAAAATAATAGAGAGGCTGCAAATACTTTATATAATTTTCCTATTACCCAGGATGCTTCCGCAAGTACATATCAACTTATGAGTTATTTCATGTTGGACGACATAATGGCTATGAGAACCAACCTCATTAATGAGGGCGGTGGTGGGATACAAGATATCTATTCATGCTTATTGGAGGAGTTGAAGTCCTTCCTTAAGGAAGAACTAGATGAATCTGTTTATACAACGATAACGGAAATCTTTACTAATTGATTTTATTGGTCCACCCGAGCCAACCATAAATTTTATTAATTGATAATATTAATTTGAATCCTCCGAAAACTAAAAATAGATCTAATTCCATTTCACGCTCCAAATTTTGGATGATTCAATCAATCTTTCTTGGGTGAAAGGGAGGATATCTCAATCGGGAGAGAGAACGAGGAAATCCCATATGACCCAAGATACCTGACAAGCCGCACTATACGTCAACCCAAGCTGCATCTTCCTCTCCAGGACTTCGAAAGGGAACTTTTGGAACACCAATAGGCATTAAATGAAAGAAAAAAATTAAGTACTCTATTTCACTTTAATGTGGAAACGTAATAATTTAGGGTTATTGTCTTTATAATATCAATCTTTATTAGATTTTCTGCATAGACTAGAAAGGTTTAGTTTAAGAAGACGGAATAAATAAAGGAAAAATCTTACCAATATAGCCTTCCAATACTAAAGAAGTATGAAAGATCACATGTCCATATAGAACATTTGCGTACCGAAAAAATGTCATTCGGGTTATGCAATGCTCCTTCAACATTCTAACGATGCAAGACTTCCATTTTTTCGGAAATTCTTGAAAATGAGATTGAAGTTTTTATGGACGATTTTAGTGTTGGTGGCTCGTCTTTTCACACTTGTCTTTATAATCTTGAAAAAGTTTTGAAAATGTGTCAAGAGACGAGTTTGGTTTTGAATTGGGAGAAATGTCACTTTATGGTTGAGGAGGGAATTGTCCTAGACCATAAAATGTCAAAGAAAGGCATTGAGGTTGACTCGGCCAAAGTTTCGATGATTGCAAAGTTGCCCCCTCTTACTTCCGTTACGGGAGTGAGAGCTTTTCTAGGGCATGCCGGTTTTTACCGGAGGTTTATCAAAAAAATTTCATCAATCGCCAAACCTTTGACCGAATTACTCAAGAAAGATGTTGTGTTTAGCTTTGATGAGGCTTGTCTTGAGGCATTTCAAAAACTCAAGGAAGCTCTCATTTCCTCTCCTGTTGTGCATACTCCGGATTGGAGCTTGCCTTTTGAACTAATGTGTGATGCTAGTGATTTTGCAGTAGGTGCGGTGCTTGGGCAAAAGAAAGAAGGAAGATCTCATGACTGCAGCTTTCCCGAGTGGAAGAGGTTCAATTCAGTTGTTCCGACTCTGACTTTGAAGCCCGGCCGGGTGAAGAAGCCTCATCCCGAGCAAGGTTAAGGAAAGGCTGGCTTCATCTACTATGCAAGTAGAACACTTGATGAAGCTCAAAGAAATTACACAACGACGGAGAAGGAAATGCTTGCGGTTGTGTTTTCCATGGCAAGTTTAGGTCCTATCTTATTTGCTCCAAGGTGATTGTGTACACGGATCACATAGCGGTCACTATCTTATGACCAAAAAGGAAGCAAAGCCACGCCTCATTTGTTTGGTTCTTTTGCTTCAAAATTTTTACATGGAGATGAGAGATAAAAAGGGAGCGGAGAACTATGTGGCGGATCATTTGTCTAGGCTTCCTTTTGAGAACAAGGAGGATGTGCCAATCAATGAAGAAGTAGGATTTGAAACTCTCATGGCTATGGCTTCAACATCTAGCCCATGGTATGCGGATATAGCCAATTATCTTGCTTGCGGGGTCATTCCCCCGGAGTTTTCTTCTCAACAAAAGAAGAGGTTTTTCAAGGAGGTGAGCATGTACTTTTGGAATGATCCCTACTAGTTTAAACAGTGTGGAGATGGCCTTTACCAGAAATGTGTTCCGGACCATGAAATCGAAGGAGTTCTTAAGCATTGCCAATCGTTGCCATGTGGAGGACATGGGGGAGTTAATAAGACGGTGGCAAAGATTTCTCAATCTCTCCTATGGTGGCCGACGATGCATAAGGATGCCCAAAGGTTTGTTTCAAGATGCGACAAGTGCTAAAGAAGTGGTGGCATAACTAAAAGAGATGAAATGCCTCAACAAAACATTTTTGAAGTTGAGCCTTTTGATGTTTGGGGCGTCGACTTTATGGGGCCTTTTGTCTCATCATGTGGGAATTTATACATCTTGGTAGCGGTGGACTATGTGACTAAGTGGATTAAAGTTATACCCTCCCCTACCAATGATCATGAGGTTGTGCTTAAACTTCTCAAGAAAATCATATTTCCGCGGTTTGGGGTCCCTAGGGTGCTAATTAGTGATGGAGGTTCTCATTTCGCCAAGAAGCAATTCGAGGCTCTTCTCAAGAGGTACGGAGTTCATCACAAGGTTGGTCTACCTTATCATCCTCAAACTCAAGGACAAGTGGAGGTGTCAGATAGAGAGATCAAGAACCTTCTTGAAAGTATGGTGAACAAGTCTAGGAAGGAGTGGTCCCTCAAGCTTGACGACACACTTTGGGTCTTGCGGACGGCGTACAAGACTCCAATTGGTACAACCCCCAATCGGTTGGTCTATGGGAAGGCTTGTCATTTGCCGGTTGAGTTAGAGTATAAAGTTTGGTGGGCAATCAAGGAGCTTAACATGGATTTGTCGTTGGCCGGTGAGAAGAGATTGCTCAAGCTCAATGAACTTGAGGAGCTTCGATATGATGCCTACGAAAACTCTAGGTTATACAAGGAGAAAACCAAGAAATGGCACGACTAACATATAAGGAACAAGAGCTTCAAGGTTGGAGACAAAGTGTTGTTGTTCAACTCTAGGCTTCGTTTGTTTCGCGGAAAGCTCAAATCCGAATGGTCGGGGCCTTTCGTGACTTTAAGGACTACTCCTTATGGGTCTTTTGAGTTGGAGGCGGGTGACAACAGGTTCATGGTTAATGGTCATCGTTTGAAGCACTACTTTTGCAAGGATGAAGTTGGTTTGGTTGAATGTATGAGGCTTGATCCGATGGATCTTGAGCCACCCTTTGGATGAAAATTTCTCATGGTCAAGCTTCTCGGGAGGCAATCCGAGTTCTCAACTCTTTTGTTCTTTATTTTCTTCATTTAGTCGATTTAAGTGTTTTTGTTTTATGGTCTTTGGTTGTTATTTTGTAGGTACTTGAATTTTTGGGCAATGCTTTTGTGGATTAAGGTTTGAGGGTGTTTTCACCTCAAGGGAGTCCTTTTAAAACTCTAAAATTATTGATTTGCTCAAAAGAAATGGATAAGATATACTAAGCCAGTATGAGTATAAAATATCTTATTGCATAGCTTTGTTGTTTGGACATTGATGTAATTTAGAGATTCTTATGAATCATATCATCAGAAATTCAGAATTCAGAACTTAGAATTCATACCCATACCAATCCAAGAAAGCCAATTGAAAGTGGCGGTATATTCTATTTCTATTAAATAAACTCACATGAAACAATTTACTTTGTATATTCTCGAGAAAAAATACTCATTTAATTTCACAATTTACACAATCACACCATATATATTTTTTTCAAGGTATTTAAAACATGTTTTAACCAAATAAATTATTTTCAACGAAAAACGATTTTTCTTTGTTTGACTCTTTATAAGAAAAGTGATAGAGAGAACGAATAGAAGAAGCGGTGATGGAGGACAATAGGAATAGAGGAGAGAAAAAGGAAGATAAGGAGTCTAGAGGTAGAGCTGTCAAAAGCTGACCTGACCTGAACCCGATTATTAACCGACCCGTCTAAACCCGAAAAATGATGACCCGAACCCGATATGACCCGACATGAAACCAACCCTAGACCCGAGTTAACCAGAGTATTTGAGACCCGAACCCGAACATGAACCAACCTGGAGATGACCCGACACGAATATAACCCGTAAAATATTAACTTGAATCGAACCCGAGAATGACCCTAACCCGTTTTTACCCGTGAAAACCTGAATTAAACCCGACCCATCATTCACCCGACCCGAATGTAAACCGACCTGTCATTAACCTGACCTAAACCCAACCCAAACCCGATAAGATGTATGACACGACGTTACCCGACTCAAGCATGACCCAACCCAAACCCGACCCGTATAGGTTACGACATTAACCCGAAATGACCCGACCCGAGTTGACCCGACCCACACTTACCCGACCCAAACCCAATCGGTTTACCCGAATTGACTGCTCTATCTGGAGGAGAAAACGGCTTCCATTTCTTACAAAAGAAAAATGTTCACCACCAGATTAAAAAGTTTTTTTTTTTTTTTTTTTTTTGGTTATGCTGGAAACCACCAGACCAACATGATCAGCTTGGTCTTCTAGAAGTCTTTTTAGCTCACCAACTACATTCTTTTCCTCGCATACTTTAAGCAAGTAGTCTCTTATTTCAGTGATACACTTATTATCCTGGCATCACAAGAACCCAGAATCATTAACTTAGTTGATTGATCGAGTATAATCAATATAGAGCAATTTGACAGATCAAACAATTTAAAGGGTCCTTAATAAAATTCTAAAGGGACAAGCCACACTGACAATTGAAAATGAGACACCTGTTGTACCTTATATCTTCCTAAGTTCAAAGCTGTAAGAAGTGCAAACAATCCCTCATCTTCATCATCTTCTATCTTGACCACAGAGCCCACTGTTGTTTGTGCTAATATTAAGTCTACAAAACCACTCAAGTCCCACACCTTATCATCAAGATAGCTTTGTAGCAACATCTTTACTCCATGAAAGTCATGGGGTCAAAAAAGGCAAAATCTGCCTGAATTAATTCCTTTGAGAAGAAATCAAAACGGAGAAAATAATTAGAGCAAATAAAGACAACTGGAATAGAATCATTCACCTAGAATGGACATTCACAACGACCAACAACAATTAAATGCTTACTTCATGCGCTTCTTCTTCAGAACTGTTCTCCTTCAAGTTGTGCTTCCTACTAGATCTATTGGCTGAAAATATAATAGAAAAGATTTCCAAAAGTCATGTTAGATCAGCACATGAATTGCTAATCATAAATAGAAAACACAGGGCACCTATATAGGACAATGTTTATAATAGAGAAAACACCTATTAGTTTTGAGAAAGATGTTCTGTCAGATTTTGAATTAGAAACTTTGTGCTTTGATGAGCAAGCTGTGGCAGTTCTAGTTACTGAAAGAGCAAATTGTGAAAACGCAAAAGGTCGAGGCACCAGCTGGCCACTTCTTCGTGGTTTTCGAGGCATCCCCTTGTATCTGCACATAAGCAAAATTTTGTTAAAATCCATCTTAAAACATCACACTTTTTTCACCCTTCTTTTCTCTTTCTGAATCCAAATGAAACGGGAGAAAAGAATCAGGCAAAGAGCATCAAAGCACTCCAGCAGTAAGAATTTCAGCTAAGTAATAAGTTTAATTGGTACAAAGAGAAAGTACTATGTAACAAACACAACTCAAAAGTTAATCTCATACGCATATCTACACATCAGAGAAACTCTAACATCCATAAGACACAAACAATTGCCTAAAGCTCATCATACCATTTTACAATATTTAACAATGACCTTATTCAATGATTTTTTATTTTCATTTTTTTATAGTTAGAACCTATTACTGTGAAAGGACCTAAAGCTCATCATAACATGAAACCGAAACTCATAACACCAAAGGATGTAAAACCAACTACACCTCCATACACCCAAACCGCTAAAATTAGCAACACCCATCTAGTAAAAAAATCAATAATCTACTAGCTACAGTCATTGAATTGTCAATCAATTCACACAAATATAACCAAGAGGCTTCTATTCTCACTTCGAACCCAATAAGTCTACAATAGCCATCATCCAAGAAAAAAACGTGAAATCTGTTAGGAACAACCAAGATAGACATAAACATCAATAACCCGACTCATATAAAAAAAATATTAAAAAAGGAACGCTTAAAAAAACTGTAATATCAGAAAATGTTCCCCTTTTTTTTTAGCTTAGAAAACCCCATGAGCAGTAGCAAGCATAGGAAGCAACAACAGCTAAGCAGAGGAAGCAGCAGCAGCGTCAAGCATAGGCGGTGGCAGCAGCATGTAACAACGTTAAGCATAGGCAGCAACAGCTTCCAGCAGTATCAATAGCAGCAAGATTTAACAATATCAATAGTAGCAATGATTTGTTTTACTATAAGGGATTGGTGAACAAAGTAGTCAGAATTGTTTGGAAGTTCATGATGTATAACCTTTCAGCAAAACCAAACAAACATATTGAAAATCCATTGGGGAAATCTATAAAGACATCATAGTCAATACATGTTATCTTAAATTACACAGCTCAGAGAAGATAAAGTACAAACCTTGCTGTCCATACGCAAGGGACAAACTGCACAAGGAAATCACTAATTAGAAACAGGTCAACATTACCAAAGTGATCATAAGAGGCTATATAAATCATTTTTAACAAGAATTTATCTTTATCAAAAGATCTAAAACGCAGTTCATCTAGTCACCAAACTAAAATTTATAGTCTAAACAGTAACACTGACCTTTTGACCACAACTCTTGGTCAACATAACGCAAATAAGTTAATAATTAATAGCATGTAATCCACATGAATATTACTTGGCTCATATCCTAATTAGCTTCCAACTGCTCAACAAGACATTAATTTCAGTTTGCAAGTACCTAATATACAATCATATGTCTCTATAGTAACATAGGGAACACCAGAAGAGCTAAATCAAAGACGGTCTTTGTTTGCTACTCTAAATTGGCACATGAAAATAAATTAAACTAATTCAAAATGTTGTTAGTTCTATGGATTCATACCATTTCAATTAACAGAATGCATAATTCAGTAAATTCAGTAACTCTTGATTCATACCATTTCTATATGTTATAAAGTAAGGGAAAATCTTCTTGATTGAATGACTATATACACAAAATTCAGTAACTCGCATTTTTGATGGAAATCATCCAAAAGTTTTTTACTTACCAATTCCTCTGCCATAGTAATCACATACAAGGGAGAAATGAACGCACAAGAAAATAGTAGCAGCAAGAAACACAGGGGAATAAAAAGTGCAATAATATTTTCAAACACCCTCAATATACCCTAAATCACACAGGAAATCCCTAGAGAAAATTACAGAACAACTCTATTAAAATCCCACCCAAACAGCAAGAATAAACCAATTCGAACCAAAACAGACCAGTCCGAATAAAACAGCCCAGTTTAATAGCAAATAAACTCCAAAAATTCTGAAATTTTAAAGGCAGAAAGTAGACAGAAAAACACCCAAATTCAAAAAAAGAATCACCTAAAAAGCTTCTCTAACGAAGGAGAACGAGCCAAACGAAGTCAGCACTCACAGCAGCTCCTACGAAAATCAATGCGAAGTGTGATGGAATTGTGAGACGAAAAACAATGCGATCATGCTCATTCAAAAACATGAAATAAAAGGCCAATTTTCTGAATTGAATTAAACCAGAAGCACAAAATGAAACATAACAAAACCCTAAAATCTCAATTACTCATGAAGCTAACCCATATCTAAACATAATCTGTGAGATTATTGAAAAATATAACATTAAAAAAACAAATTTAGTCTGTACCTTAATATTATCGATCGGCACTCAGAGGGACGACATAGATTACAATTTTGGATCAAGATCTATAAATTGATTCAAAGAGAGACGAAGATCTGAATTTTAAATTGATTTACCTAAATTTGAAATTGAATCCACGAAGGACAAAGATCTGAAATTGAAATTGATGTACCTCAATTCGAAGAATCTGGTTCACAAAATGATATTCCTCACATTGAAATTACTCCGAGAAAAACAAAGATCTGAGTTTGGAAACAATGATTCCATAAGTGTCTTTGTAGAATTCGGATTGAAAGAGAGAAGAGTAGTTTGGTTGATGAGTAACTAGAGGTTTTTGTTTTTGTGTGTTCTTGTTCGGTGGTTTCATTTACCCTAAATTCTACAATTGAGGGTTTTTTGCAGTCACGTGTGGGGCACGTGTTATGTTCTCGACGCTTTTTAACGCCGAAAATTAATTTCGACCTACAAAAGCTTTGAGATAATACGCATAGTATAATTAATAGTTGACGCTGCTAGCCCAGCGTCGAAGGTCCAGCGTCTAGAAAATGCTCTTTTTGTAGTAGTGTAAATATAAGAATTACTTGTTAATGAAAATGGGGTTACTTGTTAGTAAAGCTGGTTATTGGGTAAGCCCAATGATAATGGAGTCAGAGTCAAGCTTAAGGGGCTTTAATGGACAGGGCCTTTACCAGTGGCGGAGCCAGGATTTACAAATTGGGGGGACGGATTATGGATATAATATAATTAGACAAAAATCTTAACCAAAAAAAAAAAAAACAGGAACATTAATCTCATTCCAACTACTTGATCATCTACCTATCATCTTAGCATAAATGTGAATTAAACTAAAGTAAACTCAATACACAAATTCAGATTAACAACCTATACATTCGAATTTTACTACAAGTCATTTTGCAAACAATCAAAAATACCTAAAATTTCTATAAATTTAAACAAAAAATTAAAAATCAAAGCATCCCTCAAAAATACGATAAACCCATATCAAATTAACAAACACCCAAAAAAAATTAGGTTATTAGGGTTTATAGAAAACAAACTTTTAGAAGATCTGAGGGTTTTGAGAACAGCCTTGTAACCAAGAGTGTGCTTTCCACTCTTCATAACAAGAGCCAATATGTTGTTGATGCTCTCATGAGTCTTCTTTTGCGATTCAACCCAACATTCAAGTTTCAATTCTTAAGAGAAATACTAGGCAATGCAGATTTAAAATGTTGCTCTAGACATGATAATATATTAAAACCCGGGTACAAAACTCAATATTGATGAAAAAATTATTAAAAACTATGCAGTATATATAATGACAAACATGCAGTAAATATACCTACATAAACCTCTTATTTCTCGATCTCTTTCTTTATGATGGGAAATTCTTCAAATGATGCTTAACTGATGAAATTCACAAAAATAACAAATCAGTCTTTTCTTTTAGAGAACCCCATATTAATCTACAAAAATGTTATAATTTTAATTTTTTGGGTACATTTACCGATTTTCAGTAAATTAGATGGGTTCGTTGACAAATTAAAAGGGCAAATTCAGCGAAACACGAATTTTGAGCAGAGAACTTTACCTAATTGCGAGGATGAAAGCTTCGGCACATTATATGGTTCACTGATTGAAATTCGACATACCTATTTCACCAAATTGGAACGAATTTGTAGTTTAGGGTTTTTCAAGCAAAATTTCGACATTGATATTGACAGAACTATTTCACCAAAATTTCGAAATTAATATTGATATACCTGTTTCACCTGAGAAGCTGATTCATTGCAGAATGGAAGGCTCAGAAGCCGCTTCAATGGAGAATTTAAAGTACGGCTTCAATGAATAATTCAAGGTACGACTTTATGGAGAGGAGGGAGGAGCGAGGTTGAAGAAGAGAAATGAACGAGCGTCGAGCGGCTTGCAGAAGAGAAATGAACGGGCCACCTTTTTTTTTTTTTTTTCTTTTTTTCTTTTTTTCTTTTCTTTTTTATTTAATTTTTTTTTTTAAATTGGGGGGACAACTGTCACCCCATGTCCCTTAATTGGCTCCGTCACTGCCTTTAACGGATAGGGCCCTTATTAGGTAGGGTCAATATCGGGCCAAAATGTTACTTAGTGTTTCGGGGTTTTCTGATGTCCTGCGGGAGAGTTACAATTCCGGGACTAGATCCGTGCGCCTGTACCTGCAAAACAACGGAGACTCCGGGTGGTGGGAGCTCCGCCTCCGACGGTCAAGTTAGTACTTGTTTTAGGAAGTAAGTGCGGAAAAGTAAAGGTGGGAGATCTGGTCCCTCGAGGTGAGGAGTGATCAATGTGTTTTGGCTTCTCTCGGTGAGAGTAATTAATTGCTAAATCCCCTTTAATGAGGATTAATTAATGTATTTATAGCCTTGGGAAGCGTGCCTAATTCTAGGGTTTTTGGTAAACCCTAGATCTGACTGGGCTTCTCCCGGAAAGTGGGCTTAGGTGGCCTCCTTCCAAGCTAGCAATCAATAGGCCACATGGCGTGGCTTGACTGGTCCATGGTGGACAAATGGTTGTGTGCCATGTGGCAGGCCCTGAGGGGTCCAAATAGAGGACACTTGGCAAGACATGATTGGCCCACGTGTCGTACAGTGATTGGGCGGGGAAAACCCCCTAAACATTTGCCCCTCACAGGTGGCACGTGACTGGTCACATGTCACCTGTGACAGGTGTCGGCCTGTAACAGGCGGCGGCCTGCTACAGGTGTCGTCCTGCGATTGGCCAAACGTTTTTCTCGCTTAATCTTTTGAATTTGGAAGTGACCCTTCGTATTCTCATTTTGCCCTATATAAGGGTATGTTGACCAGGTCTTTTGTTCCCATTTGCGAACTTTGCAAGAGAACTCTCGGACCCCTGAACTTGAGCTATGATTTCTTGGACAACTGACTTCACCAACCGCCTGCTTTTTAAACGCTTGTTCAATCAAGCACCCTTTCAGAACTTAAGTTTCAGGTAATGGTTTGTTCCTTTATCCTTTTCTGCTTCGATTTTGCACTTTTTTCTTTCTTTTTGAAAATGAGGCCTCAAAAGCATCCGGCACGGCCTAGGTTAGCAATCAGCCGGTCACCGGGGACGGCTGAGTCTAGGACTAGGGGTGCCGACTGCCCTGCGGTACTTCAAACTTTGCGCAAGTCCCAGAATCCAACTGTCTTTGTATCTATGCATGACAGTATGGCAAGAACAAAAAGAACAAAGAGGATTGAAAGATCTGATGGCTCTTCATTCCGGGTTCAAATTAGTGAGCTGTCGGACTAGACGCCTGACACCGCAAGGACCCGAGGCAGCTCTGCTGCCGAGAGCTCTGAGGAGGGGGCCAAGGTGGTCCCTTCCCATTTACATTTGACTTAGCTGGTCAGCAATCGGCTCCTTCTGAAGAAGAGGGGTCGGCCCCCTCAGGGAGAGGGGAGTCGGACTCCTCTGATAGTGAGTCCGAGGCCAGTTCTTCAAGTCGCCTTTCTCTAAGTTCGGAAGAGAGGCATTCTCGCTTAGATGAGGCGAGACTATCTCACTCAGTCGAAAAAGGGGTTGACTGGTCAGAGCCATCTTCCTCCCATAGGGAGTTGAATACCCCTTATTACTGTCACGTCCAAAAGGGCCGAATCAAGGCCATGAAAGAAAGAATAGAGACTTTTCTGTTGGACCATGTGATGGGTCCGGATTTTCAATTATTCGTGCCGGATGCTGAAGATGCAATCGTCTGGCCCGAGGGGTCCAATTACGGGGACGCCTACTTTGGCTGTTACGAGGCGGCCATTAAGGCCGGCCTTCGATTTCCCTTGCAGCCGGTCGTTCAACAAATCCTCGATGGGTACGAGATGGGGCTATGGCAGTTAGCCCCTAATTCCTAGTTTCACATCCTTGGCTATGTAGCCGGATGTGAAATGCATGGGGTGGAGCCGAATTTTGAGGTGTTCGCCCATATGAATTATTTAAGTCGAACCCCCAAGGCCAGTGGTACCGTCTGATACCAGCTAACGAGCCACAAAGGCTATCTGATGACTAGGGGAAGGAGAACAAGTGGAAGGATTGGAGAAACACTTTCCTCCTAGTCTCCAGCCCTGATAAACTCCTGAACAAGCGGTATAATAGGTGGAACAAGGATCCACTTCTTCTTGCAGGCGGCCGTAGTATGCCGCCTGTTCCTCACCGGGCCAAGGAAGAGATCCTTGATCGAGGACTCTTCAAAGTAGAGATTAGGGCAAACTCTACTACTGGGGTACGGGAGCAGGTGCCTTTAAACTATGTTCCCAGATTTCAGTGGCTATACGATGAGTACTTTTTGGCCGCCTGTGGCCTTAGCAGTCGGACCTCCAGAGGTAGTCGGCCTCTTGTGCCTCTACATGCATTACTTGATTTATTTGTTCAAGTTTAACTAACTCTTTGTCGCCTATTTTCAGTTGAGGCTATGGATCAAATCTCTGCATTAAAGAAGGCAGTTGCCCTTCTTCGAACCTCCATAATGAGCCTCAAGCGGACCTAATCTGATTCTCCTGCCAAGGAGACGCCCATAGTGAGTTTCTGATCTTTCCAGTTTCTCTTTGAACTCCTCTTTTTGCTAGTACTGACTTTTCTAAGCTTCTGCAGGCGGGCTCGTCCAAACCCTCTTCCTCCTAGCAGCCGGACTCAAAGGTTTGGAAACAGATAGTTGGGAGTACGCCTGGCTCTGTCAGAAAACAGTCGGCTGACAAACAGCCGATCACCCCACAAAGTGGGGGTAAACAAACACAAGTCCCTAGGGACAGCCGGCCTCTAAGAGGTATAACTGGCTCCTTCGACCCTTGTTAAATTTTTCTTCCTTTGAAATTCTCCTCTTGTTCTAACAATTTGTCTTTGAATTCAGGCGGTCCTCGAGAACCAAACTTGGTCCAAATGACAAGTCTATGGTTAAAGCCATCCCTCTAGAGGAGAGGGATGCGGTCAAGGGAGTCGGCACCCTTGACTTAGACGAAATCATGGGTCTCCTCTCTGAGGTATACTTAGTGTTTCTGGGTTTTCTGATGTCCTGCGGGAGAGTTACAATTCCGAGACTGGAACCGGACGCCTGTACCTGCAAAATAACGGAGACTCCTGAGAGCTCCGCCTCCAACGGTCAAGTTAGTACCTGATTAAGGAGTAATTAATACAGAAATTAGAGTAATAAGGTCTCTCTAGGTGAGAGTATTTAATGTAGGTAATCTGCTTTGCTAGCGAGATCAGCCGGTTATTAGTGTGTTCTGTCAATTATTCGGTCCCCCGATTAATGAGGATTAATCGAGTATTTATAGCCTTGGGAAGCGTGCAACTCTCTAGGTTTAAGGTAAACCTAGGGCCGAACGGGCTTCTAGACTGAAATGGGCCTTGATGGCCGGTTGTCCCATTTGGCATGGGTGGACACGTGGCGTGTCTTAAGTGGTCCGTGGAGGACGCGTGGCGGAACCTGGTTGGTCCACTTGTCAAACGGCGCTTGGTGGATAAAAATCCCCTAATCATTTGCCCCTCACAGGTGGCACGCGACTGGTCACGTGTCGCCTGTGACAGGTGTCGCACGGTGACAGGCGACGGCCCGTTACAGGTGTCACCTTGCAGACGGCCGGGAGACTCTCCCGCCCAAATTTGAATTCGGAGGCGACCCTTCGCCTTCTCATTTTGCCTATAAAAGGAAGTGCTGACTTCGGTCATTTTCACATTTGAGAATTTTTGCGAGAACATTCGGACCCCTGAACTTGCTCTGACATTTTCGGACTTTTTTTGCCTACCGCCTGTTCTGACAAGCCGACTGACCCGAACTTTCAGGACTTCATCAACTGTCATCCGTTCAGGTAACTCAGTTCTCTTACTCTTAATTTTCTTTTTATTTTTTGAAATGGCACCATGGAAGCACACGACACGCCCTAAGTTAGTGATCAGCCGGTCACCGGGGACGGCTGAATCTAGGACTAGGAGTGCCGCCTGCCCTTTTCTGGACCCATCTTTGCCCTTTATACAAAGTCCGACTGAATCTGTGTCTATGCAGAACGTGATGGCCAGAACAAAAAAGACTGCTAGAATATCAAACTCAGACGGCTCCTCCCAAAGGGTACTCCTTAGCGAAACATCTGACCAGGCGCCAGATGTGGAACGAGGCGACTGTCAAGCTGACAGTTCTGAGAGAGGGACCAAGGTGTTCCCTTCTCATTTAACCGTGGACATGTCTAATTTACCTTCTGCTCCTTCTAAGGGAGAGGAGGCGGGCCCCTCTAGGAGAGGGGAGGAGTCGTCCTCTTCGGACTCGTCAGGGGACGAGTCCGATTCCAGCTCTTCTGACCATAGTTCCTCTGACTCAGAAGAAAAACATAACCGCCTACAAGAGGCGAGAAGTTCCCATGCAGTGGAGAAGGGGGATAATTGGGCAGAGCCGTCCGCCTCTTACAGAGAGGAAAACACCCCCTACTACTGCAGGGTGCCCCGGGGCCGGATCGCAACCATGCGAGACAACGTGGCGAGCTTTATTGCTAACCACAAAATGAGCCCGGAGTATTTACTGTTTGTGCCGGATCCAGAAGATACTGTCGTCTGGCCGGCTGGTACCAGCTATGGTGACGGCTGTTTTGGCTGCTATGTGGCGGCCATCAAAGCTGGTCTGCGCTTCCCATTACATCCGGCTGTTCAGCGGATTTTAGATGGGTATGATCTGGGGTTATGGCAGTTAGCCCCCAACTCTTGGGTAAACGTACTCGGCTATGTGGCCGGGTGCGAACTGAACGGGGTGGAGCCAAGTTTTGAGGCTTTCGCCCACATGAACTATCTCAGCCGGACCCCTAAGTCGGGAGGTACCGGCTGGTATCAACTAACAAGCCACAGGGGTTACCTCATGACGAGAGGTAAGGCAAACAAATGGAAGGATTGGCGGAACACCTTCCTTATTATCGAGAGTTCAGACACGGAGCTGAACAAACGATTTAACAAGTGGAACAGGGATCCGCCTCTTCTTGCAGGCGGCCGCAGCATGCCGCCTGTTCCCCCAAAGGCTAAAAGAGAGATCCTAGACAAAGGACTCTTCAAAGTAGAGACTAGGGTGAACTCTACTTCAGGGGTACGAGAGCAAGTACCCCTACACTGCGTCCCGAGCTTCAAGTGGCTCTATGATGAGTACTTCTTGGCCGCCTGTGGCC